AAATTAACGACAGATTTTACAAAAAAACAAAATAATTTGTTTAATTTACTAAAAGTAATTAATAATTATTAATTATCAAATAATCGTTAATCATAAAAGGATTCAATACTTAGACCACAGACTCAAAGTAACTATAAGTATAAGACATTGTCTTCATTGAAGTCTTTGGTCTCTTAGGCTTCAGACCAGACACCAAACGATTAATAACTGATTGATTGTCGCAAACGATATGATGCCATTCACTCTCCAGACATTGTCTCAAATTCTCATCAATAAACTCAATGGTCTTTGCCATCAGCTCTTCGTTATTGTATTTCTCAAAAGTTTGCAATAATTTGAATGCATTTTTGCCATTCATTTGAATGAATAGCAAATTCTCGCAAATATTCTTGAGATCCAAAACCATATACTTCGCCGAAGTATAGATCAATTGTTCCGCCATTTCTGCCAATCTGTCTGAAGTTCCGAAATAAATGAATTTCAAGAACTCTTCGAAGACATCGGCGTCGATGTCATCGATAACCACATCACTTGTCTTCTTCTCTGTCATATCAGACATAAACATCTGATGAAAGACATCCGATTGAGTGCTGAGGATGAGTTTGGAGGCGAAGAACTCCTTCTCTCCGACAACGAGTCGACAGTCATTGAGATCATTGTTATTGAAGTTCTTCTTAAGGCATAGCTGTCTGGTGTCGCCAACGACTAGTGTCTTAAATGTGGTGATGTCGAGGCCAATGGTTAGGCTATCATTGGGTAGATATTTGTCCATTTGGTCCGTTAGTGTGGAAAACTTGATAAACCCATACAATCCCCAACCGTCTGAGTCTATGCCATACTTTCCCTGATTATATCGTCCGAATGGTTGGTACTGTGAGTCCAGACAATAGACACTGTATTCGGTGACCACCGATGACTCCGCACTCTTGATTAAGCACAAGAAAATGTTGAGATAATCCTTGTCTTTATTCTGGTTGACATCCGAATCGACACTTATTTGCCACTCATCTGATCCAANAAAAATTATACCCAATTTCCGTTTGTTTTAAAAATACATGTAATTAAATCCCAATTGAGTTAACATTTAATTAGTTTTATAACAGAATTCTTATACAAAACCTAACGATACAATCATAAGACATGTCAACTAGACTTCCGTCCGTAGAGACTACCGGTACCACACGAAGTAATCTGAACCCACAGTCAGTCACCTCTGAGCAACAGAATCAGGACAGACAACAGCTCAGTATGGATAGCGGGCCTCCGACTACCCATTCCTCACGAGTACTGTTCCCAAACGATAAGGACATACCTGCGAGCAAATCGCCATTTACTCTCTCACAGGTCGACACCAGAATATTCTGTGCGCTTACAGTAACCCTATTACTACTGACCCTCACATCCGTTGGGTTCGCCATTAAGTCTATATTCGTGACCACCGATAGTCTGGTAATGGGGCGCTCGGCCTACTGGTGGTACTTCTTGTATAGTCTACTCGTTGTCCTACACATCGTATCTATGGTTCAGTTCATGATTGACAGCAACAATAATACCGGCGCCCGACTCATGACAGCGACGGCCGGGACCGCTATTTTGGCGTTTATTGAGTGCATTATTGTCACCCGATTCCTGATCGTTACCTTTCCTATCATCGAAATAAGTGAGTATTCGCTGATACCCTGGTTATTGTCAACTAACTGGTGGTTAAAACTCATATAAAAAGTCTAAAATAGACTCAAAAACAACGAGTCGTTCGCTATATTCCGTATAATTCTGTGTTTAAGTAATAAATTGTTGTCTTTTGATGTGAAGACTGGCGATACGAACCGATTGTCTTGATTTCCATGAGTTGCTTGCGATTCGTGGCGTTACTGACGGCGGCTATGGTTTTGCTGAAGTATACGATGGGAGACCCCATACCCCGCGCCTCCTCGTATACATCGAGAAGTGTAACAGTATGGCCAGGGTCAGGGTCAGTGTCAGGGTCAGTGGCCGAACCTGAATCTTATAAACAAGCAAGCTGATCGCAAACATCTTTTTTACTCAAATAACAAAACAAATAGTTTCGCATAAAATCTCACAATTTATTCATTTAATTAGTCTTTAAATAAATACCAAAATATAGTGACATTAAATTTGATTTTTGAAATAAAGATATGATTCATATTATGATTCATATATCACCACTGTTTAACTACTAGTCCACAGTTAAATAGCCATCCCTGTCCCCTACTACTAGAGACATGTAATTGTATGAACAGAATATTAATCATTTTCAGTGAAAATATTTGCTCCATATTTGTCTACCTGTGCTCATCGCAGACAATATAAGCTGTCATATAATACTGTTGTTATTTATAGCCTACCTGTGCTTTAAAATTTAGTTTGAAGTTAAAAATATAATAAATTTGAAAAAACATTAAAACAATTGTTTAACTCTTGATTACGAATGCATTCATATTGTAATTGATGCTGTATTTCCACACCTATTCCACTGCCTATTCATCCAATCCTCCACTCAATGAGAGAAGACTTTACCATTTAATACATTATAATAACAATCATATCATAATAATGCAGTGAATGAAAATATAAAGGACTAGGTGGTCAGTGTAAACTTATATTTTATTATAATATAATAAAGCATATTTACTTAAGTCTGATAGACTAGTGACTGGAATATAGAAAATACATGGGATTATATAAGTGTTAGAGTACAAAACGTGATAAGTATATATCCGAACGATTTTGAATTGTAATAACTTTTTAATTTTATAAGTTAAAATTATGTTTAATATGTCAAATGGTACAGTGTTTATTAGTGTTTAACATAAAACCTTATTTAATAAAATATCAATTTATGTATCCACAATAAAGCCGTTGACAAGCGATGACTGCATTATTTTATTTTCCAGTCTATGGGTTTTTTTATAGTGGCACTCATTTTTCATATAAAAAAGTCGCAACATGAAACAATTAAATTATTGTATTTTAACTAAATTATGTTATCAAAATGGTATTCATTTTAAAGAATAAGATATCAATTACATGTTTATTAGTGTATTTGGTCTAATAAGCCAGATCATATAAAATCATAATTATTCAAAACTTAAAAATGTCTGGAAAAATTCAAAAAGGGAGTAACGGGAACTTCGGGTGACCAGAAACGTTTGGCCATTATTATGTTTAATATACCTGTCCCTTTTAATGGCCAGAACATTGACAAACATATTGCAAGTGTTTTAAATGAAAATTTGTCTGTATTGGTACTAATTTTGAACAAATTAAATCGTTCGGATATATACTTATAACGTTTTGTAGTGACTAATGCAGGATATGTAATACATAATATGAGCCTTAAAGAACCAGATAGGCGCTAGCTATTTTTATTTAATTAATAATTTGACTCAGAATCCAATTATTCATAAAATATTCATAGGTTTACTGTAAGATAGTAACTATAACTTATCAGAGTACAAGTAAAATATTACTAGTTATTTATATATAAAAAATAGCTAGCGCCTATCTGGTTCTTTAAGGCTCATATGTCTTAACTTTTAACGATAGGGCATCATCGTGGAAAGTATAGATAGTCAATATTAATCGATACCTGTACATTTTAATCTTATACTACGTGCTCAAAGTTGCAAAAACTTGTCAAACTTAGCTTGATTACTCATTCAAAATATGATTAACACACTCATTTTCTAAAAAAACAATTTTGTATTTATTAAAAACAGAAACTTAATTAAAAATAAATGTATATAATTACTCAAACATGTGGTGCTATATTGAAAATGAGTATGTTAATCATATTTTGTATGAGTAAGCAAGCTAAGTTTGAAAAGTTTTGCAACTTCGAGCACGTAGTATAAGATTAAAATGTACAGGTATCGATTAATATCGACTATCTATACTTTCCACGATGATGCCCTATCGTTAAAAGGCAAGACATATATTAATCCTTTGGTATAAACTTATACGACTTACAGATATATAGACAACGGCCTGGATAAAAAGCTTTTAAATATATTGATATGGCTTTATATGCTTGTATATTATATGAAATTTTCTGCATTTTTACGTCAAACTTGTTTAAAGGTCGTCATAAGCTTGATGAAAATGAAATTATTATAAAATACCATTAAAATCGATAACTAGTGCTGGGTGAGAGGCGAAAAGTTTTAAGTAAATATTAGTGATTACTTTGTAATGCATTTAATAATATAAACTTTATAATTTATAAAGTATATTATTTTCAAACGCTTATCCTATTTATATATCAATTATAAATAGATTTATTATATAATATATAAGTAGCATTATATCGATGTTTATGCGATACTTATGTATATATATTTGTAGCGATATTCAACTCAATGTACTATTTGATAAATTTATACTAGTAATAAATAAATGTGATATTTGATAGCATAAGGAAAAGGATAATATCCCAAAGCTTTTAATAAAAACTACCATTCCTCCCACACCCCATTCCATGAATTCAATTGAAGCTCTCTTTGATAAATAAAAATAAATTATTGTTTGAGGAAATCGTTTGAATCTCTTATTTCCAATTCTGGTTAACAGTTAAACTTCTTTTTATCTCTATTTTATTGGTTTTTATGGTCGACACTGTCTGCTCGCACAAGCATCTTAGCAATGAATTTATACCCAAAACTTTAACCATTCGTTAAGATTAAGACAAGTAAATAATTAACAAATATAAATTGTATTCTCTAATGTAGTATTAAAATATGACACTAATTATTCATTAGCCATATATTTTAATTTGTAGATTTAAATGAGTTTCCATTCGTCTAATAATAAACTATTTAAATACAATAATACGGTATTAAATTTTATTTGATATGTAATTCATTAGCGAAAATACATTTTACGTAACTCCAGGCGCTTTCGGATAAATTTTAATTTTCAATTATTTCTCTCTTTCCAATCAATACATTACTGTAGTATTAAATATGAATAACAAGTAAAATATGAATAACAATGTAATTACAGCTAAAACTTAAATCATTAGTTAGTACTTCTCGAAGACTATATGAATAATAATCATAATTTTTAATTAAAGTTTGATTTTATAGTCAATATAGCACTTAATATTTCTGTAATTAAGGGTAATAAATCAAAAATTACATAAACACTGGGAAAAAATGTTTTTTACATTCATATATTCTGGGAATAAAAACTTATAATTTGTATAATTAATTAATTAAATATTTTTTAGTTTCATAATTTAACAAAATTTTGTGAAATATTACTGCAAAAGTCAAGCGTAATTTATTTTATCTAAAAAATCTGTAAAAAACAAAAGCAATTATGACTAAAAACCTTTTATCTATAAAACTAACTTTTAGTTTCTGTATAATTGAATCAATCTTCATATATACATACTGTATATATCAAACATTTTCCAAATGACTATAAATATCTCTTATAATATAATATATTAAAAAGGTTTTGAAGATTTAATAAAAGTCTGAGAGTATAATTTCAAATATTGATCGATATTTTCACAGAGTTATTGAAATTTTCTTAATATAGAAATGTATTTCAATCATATCTTATAAGTAATTCTCAATTTAAATTCACATATGTTTTGATATTTATTTTTTTTTATATTAATTCAATATTTAAACATAAAAATTGCTTACTATCAAGACATTCGCACATAACTAAATTATGATTTTCAAAGTTCATATCTAAAACTTTCCATTAAATCTTTATCTTATTATCAAGCAAACAAATTCACACTGATAAAAGGTTTCTAAATTTAGCGAAAATTCATTTCTATAGTTTTTTTATACATTTATACTCATTTTTAGTGCCAATACAATAACGAGAATTTCTATAATATTTCTTATTTTGTTTGCCATTTAGTTGTGGATAACATTAGCCGAACGTCACATCCAGACGCGACAAATCAATTGGTCAATCACTTCAAGATTTTGCTTCAATGAGAAAGAGAACCCTGATGATGAGGCACTGGGAGTCCAGATTGTCAAGGTCTGTTACCTTTTCAAATAGCGCTTATATTATTAAATGCATTTTTAAATGACATTTGAAAATTATTTTGATCTACTATTGATTTTTAGTAAAAATAAATAATTATAAAGTTGTAGAAACATTATACGTTAGTATAAAGCAGCCAGTTCCACGTATTACATTTTATTACAAATAGTAATACTTATAGCATTACTAAATGTGAATGCTACCTACTTTTGAAACTTACTGATATATTGTATAAATTTTTATAAAAAGTAAATATATTTCACAAACTCAGTTTAACTTATTTAACTTGATAATATTGATATAAAGCACAGAATTAGATAACACATAACACTTTAACTAAGAATTAATAGAAAAATAATAAAACATTGCAATCACTCTCTTATTTATGTCTTAAATAAGAAAATCAAATATTTAGGCACAAAAAAAGAGAGTACAGAATGAAGGCATTCATTTTTAATCATATCTCTAATTCTCTATTTATTATATTATATGTAAACCCATTCGCCATTCGACAGGATCTTCACCGTACGGGTTGTAGTCTTTTCAGTGGTGAAGAATCCCAAAACCAAGCACTTCTCAAACAAGTACTTCTGGCATATGCTCGTTGGAACAAATGTATGCTCTCTCTCTCTCTCTCTTTCTCTCTCTCTCTCTCTCTCTCTACCTTTTTTTATGTGTGCGGCTATTATCGCAAATGTCTTCAGCAAAAGGGAATAATATATAAAATTGGATAAAGTATATGGAAATGCAATTTAGCTGTAATGTTGGAGATGTTGTAAAATCATGTACTCTTTTTATATTGAGTAATATTTTACTATAATTTACTGAACAGTATTGAGATATCTTTAGCCTGATATAATGTAAAATCTGTACTAAACTTAGATGTAGACTCAAATTAATACATTTTCAACATTAGACTTGTTTCACATAATAATAATGGAGATAACAGCAGATATATTCTGTACAGTTATTATATACAAAATATTCTGTATCACATAATGATGTCTAACTAATAACTATACAGTAGTGTCAAATAAACGTTAGAATCGTTCAAATAGGTTTGTCATGTAATTGCAGTTATAAGTAACATCTTTATTGACTTTTAGTTTTGATGAATATCTGAAAGACATTGATTGAACGAAAATATCTTGAGACCTAATGAGACACACACTCTCACTATTAATAGACAGTTAGATATACCACTCGAGACCTATCTATCGATATAAATAAGTTATGCTATCGACTAATCAACTCATTTTGTACGACATTAACAAATCCATCGATGCTTTTAATGGATGGACGCACACAGCCGTTGGTTACTGTCAGGGCTTCAATATGTTGGCCGCGATTATACTGAAGGTTATGGAGGGAGATGTCGACGACTCTCTAAAGGTAAAGGTTCTCTCACTTTAATATCCAAATACCAAATACATAATCAAAATCATGAGAAACTGTTTGCTTCACTGAATCCACAGAAATATCTTTCTCTCTGTATTTGTATTCAGTTTATTAATATTTGATTTGTTTGTATAAGAAATCGCTTTGTAGACATTTGACATTTTATGCTTTCATACATAACTAATATTCAATTTTATATCACAAATAATAATTTTCTTCACTATAAATGTGTTGTAAATTCTTTGCACAGATTTGAATTTCAAATATAAAGGTCTTGTTTTAAATTGTATTAAACTTAAGGCTTTTTAGGACATCAGAACGTTTTCTAATAAAAACTTTATTTAATTAATTTTAACATTATGCATTTTATTATAGATAAATCTAATTATATTAAATTAAGCGTTTAGATTTTGCCATTTCTATGTGAATTATGTTATAAATTAATGCATTTCACGCCAACGAGTGACAAAAAAAATTCACGATATAAATGTTATGGAAAATGCTATGTCTATAATGTCTGTAATACATAAAATAGTAGACTTTGCTTACATTTCAATTGCATTATTTCTCTTTCTTTTATGTCTCACTTTTATATTACATTTTAAAACACGAAAATCTTATTATATAATATATTGCATTCAAAAGTATTTCAAACGATTTCTTTAAATAATTTTGTAGTAAACAATATACTTGTAAAGAAAAACTGAGAAATGCAGACAAATATTATATGCTTTTTGTTTTGTTTGAAATTAATTTTGAATTTCAATATTTTTCGCAAATATTCTTTAATTCAAGTGTTATGGTAACACAAATAACAATTTCGTCCATTTGTTTATTTAATGTTTCATTTTGTGTGTTTAAATGTTTTTTTGCTATTGTATTCATATTTGTTTAAGTTTTTGTATTTTATTTCTATAGGAATATTCGCGATTCAATTAAAGTCTGCTCTATTTATATCAGAATATTCTATAAAAAAAAGTCTTTCATAGTCTATCATAAATAAAACTTTTGCATTTAATAAAACTAATTGAATGCTAGAAAGACTTTATTAATTTAATTATTTATATGCAAATAAAGAAATATATACAAAACTAGCATTTTTCTTAATTTAGTCTCAATTAGTTTTAATACAACAAAATAAGTATAATCATTGGAGTTGATCCAGTATATTACTTTTATGATAAAAATACTAAATAAAATATCATTTAAATAAATTAATACATTGTAATTATATACAGAATATAAATTTATATATATTTACGATTAACCAAATTTCTGTTATATTTAATAATTAAATTATTATTTTAAATAAATTTAACTTTTTCTGTATTTTCCCAAAAAGGTTATGATTTATCTGATTGAAGGCGTTCTACCCGAAAGTTATTTCGCCAACAATCTGAGGGGTCTGTCGGTAGATATGGCTGTATTCCGAGATCTACTACGGATGAGGCTGTCCACTCTGGCCAAACACTTTGACAAACTCCAGTACGCGGGACAGGACCAGAGCACCGGTACCAGCTATGAGCCGCCGCTAATCAACGTCTTCACAATGCAATGGTTTCTCACGCTCTTCACCAACTGTTTGCCCCAGTCTTCCGTACTAAGGATATGGGACTTAATATTTCTGGAGGGAAATGAAGTGCTATTGAGGGCCGCACTCGCTATCTGGGATTGTTTGGCAGAGTATGTCATGCAAACACATCTGTGTTTTCTTAAGAATAACATCAATATTAGCTAAATATCTCGAAATTAAACTCTCATTTCGTTTTCGCTATTTCTCTTACTTTTGATTTTATTTTCCTCTCAATAAAGAGTTTACTTTTAGTTTCGGCAAAACTTTTCATTAAATGTCTATTTCTAGCCGTATATTGACTGTCGAGAGCGCCGACGAATTTTATAGCATAATGGGTGTACTCACCAGAGAAATGATGGAGTTTGGGGTCACCGATACCAACGAACTGATCAAGGTACATTGTATATTTATATATCTAATAAATATAAGTTAGTAAGCAAATACAGTATTTGTTTCTAATATTATAACAATATTCTTTACTCTTTTGTTTAATTAATACATAATTAAACTTTTAATTCTGAAATCTTCATTAATTATTTTATTATTGTTAATCTCTTTTGCAGACCATTTGCATAATGGCTCCCTTTCCGTTCCCACAATTAGGCGAATTACGAGAGAAATACATGTATAATATCCGACCCCTGACCTCATCCCTGGCTCTGGTCAAGAGAGGGCTACAGATATTTCAGAGCGACGACGAAGACGAGTGTGATGTTGGAGACGATCAGATCATGTTAGCCAACCTCTACTCCACCAATGCCTACAACTCGCATAAGATTAAAGGTAATCCACTTTTTCCACAACTATATCACAGAATATTCTTTATTCACTATAGTATAGTGTTAATATAAATGCTATACAAAGTATTTGATGAAATATTGTCGCAATTTTATCACTTTGTGTGACCAAAATGTCTTTAATATAATCATTGCACACATGGCTTAGTCTTATAATATATTTGATTATTTTATTACATTAGTTTGGTCCATAAACTAATTATTGAGTTATTTTCTTTAGTACTTAATATAATTTTTATGATAAATATGTCTTTTACAAGATATTTATGTCTTTTAATTAATTTTAATCGTAAATTGGTTCTTAACGAAAGTAATTGATTGTTATAAATATAACTTATATTACTTATATTACAAAGTTATAAATAAAGTCATTATTAACAAGAATACTGTATTTGCGTACTGGATGTATGACTATATAATATTTGCTTAAATGTTTAGTTATTGCAAATAACTTATTGGAATTCTTATTTGATATTTAATACTATACTTGGAATCAATTTTATATCTATTTATATCTGTGAAATCCATTAAGATTTTATATTGAAAAACAGTTTATTGAAAATAATTTTTTTTGTAAGTTATTTAATATTAAAAAACAGTTGTCTGGCTTGAACATTATAAAGCCCAACTACTTTATTTTCACTATAAAACTAAATAAAAATATAAACTACTCACTATACATAATACTTGACTTGAATTGCTGCAAAATAATAAAGTTTTTACTTTAGGAAAATTATTTTTTATAAATTGATTTATCTAAATTCTTATACAGTAGTTTTCAAACCATGCATTTGCCATTGTAAACCTTTTACACTGTTTTATCAGATTCTGTGAATTATTTGATTAGTGATACTGTATTACTATAGTATAAAGACCATAAAAGCTCACATTATGTTATGTAGAATTTAATTAACTTAAATTTAAAAACTTTTAAACTCTGCCAAATTGTTCAAATCTAATATCTATTTGAAAATAAAACCTTAAATCCCATCGAGGTTTTTATCCTCTCAATACATACTAAATTATATTTATAGAAAACTTAGCTCAGGCGTGAATTCAAACTTTAAAAGCTTTTCATAACTTATATTTGATTATCTTCAAACACTATATTTACCATGTAACAAGTACAGCACCTGTACCTTTACTTTAGGATAACACATACGTACTATTGATCGAAATATATAAATGATTGAATTTTATTGAATGGCATAAAATGGATAAAATATAGTGGTTTATTGAATGATCAATTATTCATAGCCTTACCATTTGCTCTATATTTGACTGCTTACAGATCAGTCCAGTCGTACCCCATCTCCGCACTCGGAGAACGTTAGGATCAGTAATACATTAGCCAATAACGTGGTCAGTGGTGGTACCGGTAGCCAGACTAACAACTTCCTGTCGTCCACTAACATCGACTCCCAGAGAATGACTTTAGATATCTCTCTACTGAAGAAACAATACGCAAAACTCAAGGAACGCCAACGACAGGCACAGGTCATCATCACCGGTATGTATCATATCATTAGACTTCGGAAGAATCAATTAATTAATGTCTCTATTGTATGACACCCGCAGAAGGCTTCCAGAGGGCGAACTCCAGTGCCTTCGCCAAGAAAGAGCCGTTGACTATGAATCACCTGTTGTTAGGAAAGACGGCACTGATATCAAAGCGTCCGAAGAGGCCGTCGCCTGTCATCCAGACTGTGACCCGAGCCAACTATGAGCCCAAGAGTCCAAGAGCTTTGCGCAACCGATCCAATACTGTGGCAAATCTGTTGTCCAACAAAACCAATAACAATAATAATCACAAGAATAGCACAAATGAGCGCAAGAAATACGATAAAAGTAGTAAAGGATTGACGGAAACGCCGGAAAGCGAAACCATTTCGTGGACTGAAATCAAATTAGAGAAGAAACGACACAAATTTCAACGAAAAATGTCTGAACCGGTGCTGACGTCCTTCCAGGAGAGCTCGTGCGAAGACAACTCATGTTTCAGTTCAATCACCGCCGGCGCTGTCGACGATATTGAGATTGTGGTGACTCGACAACAGATGAAGGCGTCCAACGAGTCGTTGAACAGTTCCAGTAGTAGTTCCACAGAATTATGCGACGACGACCACCTAAACGACAACTCCAGCGATTTCGCCTCATCTCCAGAGGTTTACCGAAAGAATCGGAGTTTACCGACAAATCACCACCAATTGGCCAATGATAATAACAAAGACAACAACAATTCAGAGACCCAGAGGCCTGTCTTTCAAGTCTCTGATGACGGCCCCGAAAGCTATCAATTGAATGATAAATCTTTGAGTAGAGGTTTGGCAGCAAATCATCACCAAATGACTAGTGAAACGAATAATGATAACAACAATACTGATAATCAAAGATCAGTCTTCGAGATCTCCAATGACTTTCTCGAAAGCATTCAATTGAGCGAAAAGTCTTTCAGTAGAGATTTGCCCGCAAATCATCACCAATCAGTGAACGATAATAACAATTCAGATGTCCAGATGTCGGTCCTTCACGTCTCTGATGGTTGTCTGAGCGATGAAAAGTCTGTGACTGATTCCGGAGACCAATGCCTTACAGCTAATAATAACGGCGATTGTGATAGTAGTATAGATCATCACCGCTCTGACCCCATACCCACACAAATGAGTGCCATCGATGATAATTATGTGAAGCCAGAGGCCAGGGATTCCAACTCTAACTCTAATTCGGACACATCTAAAGACGCCTATCAGTCCATTAAAAGTGAGATCTCATCGCTAAGTTTAGAGCAATGCATACAAAAACTGAATGAGAAGTTAGTTTCGCTAAACGATGGAAATCTGCAGCAATGATGATAACAAAAAAAAGACATCTATTTCTTAAACAATTTCTTATTTTTGAAAATTTCTATATATTTTTCTTCGACAACTCATTTCAAATGAGCCAATATTTGCTGAAATTATAATACTATTCAATTCATTAAATGTATGATATATTATACTGTAATTTATATTATATACTTGTAAATGTTAATTGATATTTATTATACATGTTTGTTGTATCATATTTACTGATATTATACGGTTAAATGACATACGATTTTCAAACTATTTCAATATGACTACGGTATATCTGTATAACTTCATACAAGTTGATTACTTTTGTTTTTAAAAGGTAAATAATAAATTTCTAAATTGTTTCATCAACATTTAAATAACATTTATGACAATTGTTTGCATTGGTTTGTACCTACAATAAGTAAAAATACATATAACTCATAATATGAGTGTAAATTTAATACCGATCCTAATACTACTGTAATAGGTATGACTTACACCCTATGTAATACGATTCCTTGCTGTAAAAGGGCTTTCATAGCCTTCTTAATGATGAAAAAGAAGTCATCGTCAGAATGAGCGCCGCCTACAAAGACATGCCCTCCTAAACCCGTTACTTAATAGATTCTGATATAGTAATGACAAATTTATGATTTTACACACAATTATTAGCATAAATTAGTGGTTAAATATTTGTTAACATCTCACGAGATTATTATTAAAAATCGTTAGAATTATATAGAAATTTAAAATCTAAACCAAAGTAACGGCTAATCATTATCTAATAGTCTGAACAATCAGTTAGATTTACAAACATAAGAATTAGCGCATCCATTGACAGCAATTGTTAGCACATCCACACTACAGACCAAACGACATGGAGTATGTGGTGAAAGCCAAAGACATTGTGTTTGCTTACGTCAAGGATCACCACTTGGAGGACAAGTTCATCCTAAATATGAGTGTCTTCTTGTATCAGGTCTTTGTTGTGATCCTCTTCCGGTGGCTCTTCTATGGCTACAACCAATACTTCTTTCCCTTCCGGTTCGCGGTTCTCATCATATTCTGGACACTTCTCTGCCTTCTCGAGGTCTTGAGACACAGCGAACCACTGCTCAAGAAGTATGGCGTCTATCAGAAGATCGAGGGCATCGCCAGCAATGTCTTGAGCGGCTCATCCGGTGGACGACCCTCTTCTGGCAGCCAATTAGAAGACAAATTAGAGGCACAGAGAGATCACTCGCCTATGAAACCGCTGCCAAGATTTGGGTCAACCCATAAGCTCGGACAACCGCCAAACCAAAGACCTCCCAAAGCCGGACCTAAAGGCGAGCTGTAGAAGCAATCTATATATCGATAGAATTTTTGACAACTTTCTGTATATTTAAAACAAAAAATTTATTATTTTTGCTAAAAAATAAAGTTCTTATCGTTTTATGAGTTATTGATTGATATATTGCTTTTAGTATTTAATTAGATTTACTGTATAAGTGGTTAAAATACTAGAATATTTAAAAATAACTACTTTATTATGACAATTAATGGTAAAAATAATATAAAATCAAAACATTTTTGTCATAAATTCATAACAAAATACATGAATAATTATAAGACATTTTTAACATACTCTTATTTTTATTATATAATATAATTTAATGGTTCAATTTGAATTATACAAAACAAAAATCATTGATTATATTGCATTTTAAAATAATAAATAGGTTTTATATATCTCAGTTTGAATAATAAAATCTGTAAAATAAAATCATTAAATAAATATAATTTTCATATTCAATACATTGACTGCGAATCCACAAAATAAACGAAAAACATTTGTAATGTTTTCGCAAAATAAAAAACTTAACAAAAATAAAAGTCAAATCAAATCACGATTTGAATCCATTATTTAGTTGCGCTAAACGTAATTCAAGACATCGTTTGTCTTCAGTCACTTTCACCACTTCCAGCAGCAGATCATTGTTCATATCGACTAATATTTTGCTGTATTCTTGCAATGATTTAATCGTTTTCCACAACTCTATTGTGTCCGAAGAACTCCTATTAAATAAAGTTCACAAAACAAGACAGTATTAACAAAAAGTGTCTGAAAAATAGTGGATATGATCACTGACTCTGGTGTTGGCACTTCTGGTGGTATTGGAAATCTAGTTCTCAACTTCTCGATCCCATAATTATTATTACAATTAATCATATTATTTGTAAGACTAGTGTCGGTTTTGGTTTTCCTAGTATAGGCATGAAAGGCCCCCACATTTCGAGAATTTAATGAAAGCACTGGAAATACAACAAATATTTTCATACGTCATTACCTTGAACACAATTTTCAAAAAACAAAATAAATACCTTTTGGAGGGGTTAGTGTGTACTCGGAATTAGATATCTTTAAGTGTTGAGGAATTTGTGAAGACATGAGATCATTGCCACCACTCGAGCGTACCATCACTTTGTTCAGATCCAGCGAAGAACTCCGCGCGTGTCCGTGACTTCTGTAAGGCCTGGGAGGAGGCGGTGGCGGCGGGTCTTTCTTACCCGTTACCACTGTTGACGTACTGAACCAAACAAACGATAAATGATTACTAAATTTAAACTTAATTATCGCTACAATTCGTACCGAATGGGATCGCAGTGAACGCCGGTATCAATACTATAACTACTGATACTATTGGTCTCGTGATTGTCGTGGCGAACGGCCTGTCCGTCGGGCGATAATCTCAAAGCCACGGGATGTAAAATCTTCGGATCTCTCACTATAGAAGCCGCACTGAAGTCAAAGTTAGCTAATGTCTGGATTCCAGCGCTCGACGACGTGCTCAGAGGAGATGAGACAACCGCAACGGCGCCGGTGCCGGTCATCACAATCTGATGGGTCGGCGAATCAGTGAATTTAGTCCACTGCTTGTTCTGCGGCGACAATGTCTCCACATCTTTGACCCGATTATTGTCGTTGAGATCGTTGTTGTATTGCTGAGGAGGAGATAATGAGCCATAACTTTGCCGCTCGCCATCGGGTCGATCGGTCACTAAATCCACACATTTAGCGGCGCCGCTGTGATTGGCAACAGTATATCGGCTGCGGGTGCCGTCAATCACTGGCGCCGACACCAAAGGCAACATATTTGTAGGCAATCGTGAGGGAAGATCGATGTTATTGCGCCGAAGGACCACTAAATGCATTGCTATACAGAACTCATTCAGTGTGAGTGCGCCGTCTTTATCGACGTCCGACAGCAGCCATATTTGCGACAACTCTTGGATCGGTAGACAAGACTTCTCGAAGAAGTCCTTCGCTTTATTGCCGGTTATTATTCCGTTTAGATTCGGTTCAAGTGTCTGAAACTGATTCGAGTAATAGACTCTTTGCTCGTCACTTATGGCGAAGATGTCCGCCGAGTCTTCATCATCCGATCGGATATCACTTTTGCGCTCTTCTTCCTCCTCTTCGTCTTCTCCTGCCAACAGATAATGTGATTCTTCAAAATCTGCCCAATTCTTAGGCTTATCTTCAGTTTTGTCCTTAAACTCGGACCAACTCTTGTCTCGATAGCCATAGGATTTCTCAATTATCGGATCAATTGGCGATTCGTTTAACTCATTCTCTGAAGAACTTCGCGATATTGTCGACTCAGCTAATCATTTACAGATAAACACATAAATCAAATCAATAGAAATTTCAACAGATATTGCAATCAAATACAAACTTTGCTCATAATTTGTATGATTATTAGATAATGAATTGTAAATATTTGTCGTTTGTATGGGATGTCTATTATCACTATTTGAGAACTGATTGCTTCTGGTAGTAGATCTCGCAGTGGATTTGGTGGGCGGTGGGGGTAATGAACCACTCATTTGATTACTTATCGTCTCACTCTTGATGTCATAATCACTGCAAATAGTATCAAATAATTATGATTTAATTTAAAAAACAGATTATTATTTAAAATAACACAAAATATGAATAAAAAGAAAATCTAAAAACTATTAACTATTCACTCAATTATCCATTAAATCATATTCACACTTAACATTAAACAAAATTTTATTCAATAAGTTTGAAACACTAAAAAATAAATTCAAATTAAAAATTAAATATCATTTTATAAATTAACAAAAACCTGTAATTACTTTGACTTAGACTTAGAGAAAGGCCGTAAATGTTAGACAAACTAAATGTTATGACACTTAACCTGAGAGACGTATAAATAGTGTTATGTAATGAGAAAACAATTAATCAAAGCCTAAGTGTGATGTCATAACGCGAGTCAAATGGGAGTGAAAAAGGGAGATAATTATCGGGCTCTTGGATACGACTCGCGACCTAATCGACAACAAACTCACGAGTAGTTCATACCTATTATTAACAGTTATCTTATGTTTGGTGAGATCCCAGCTAATGGGCGACAACTGCGG